CTAACATGGCCCCCTCCTGTCCAAACTAGGATGGAAAATAAAGGAAGACCATAAAACACTTTGGGTTGAAGTAGTTAAAAGAAAATATTTAAGTTCTGCTCACGAAGAATGGCATCCCAATCTTCTGCCCCTCCAATATGGAGAGCTATCAGTAAAACCAGACACTTGACTGATGAAGGTACTAAGAGGATTGTTGGAAATGAGGAAAAAATATTAATGGGAAATTTGGTACAAAAGAGGCTTATAGACTCCTTGCTCAGGAGGAGAACATCACTTATCCTCTATTGGCTGATTGAGAATGGATATGGAAGCTAAAAGTACCACAAAAAATTAAATGTTTCTTGTGGCTAGTTCAACATGATAGGTGAACTTACCTGCAATGCACTTATTGAAATCACAATTCACATTCTGAGAGATTATTGCCCTAAGGCCAAGGAAGTATGGAGAAACTTCCTCAATAATCAAGAGATTGTTGGTGAATCTGCATTGAACCTTATTGATTGGTTGACTGTCAATTACAAGGGCAGGAAAAAGAAAATTTGGAATGATATTGAATGGCCCATCCTGTTTTCTTCTATCAACTGGTTCATATGGAAGGATATAAATAATATGTGCACTGGAAATTTAAATATCCCCCCTTAACTGGTTGCCAAAAATGCTTGGCTTTTGTTAGAGGGTCAAACTGAACTATTTTTTCCTATTCCACTGTATCCAAAAAAAAAATAATAATAAAATTTTACACTAAATTGTGTATCATAATAAGGTTATTTTGATAAATAGGTTAATGGGTTACACATAATTAATTGAAACCCCAACAATACTAAAAACTGACAACTGACAAAAAAAAAAAGTAAACAGAAAACACACAGCCAAATGGCCTCAAAATTGCCGATGAAAACCCAAAATGAGATACAAAATGCATTTAAAGTGAAATATGAAAAAATATAGTAAAATACTTTTAATGCATTTAAAGTGAAATATAAAAAAATTAATTTGCAAAGATACAAAATGAGAATATTTAAATTGTTTAGGGTTTAAAGTGTGATTCCCTCTTATGAACCGAAAATGTTACCCAACTCACGAAGCCCAAAAAACCCTGACGAGTGTCATCGTCTCACACTTACCCTCTATTTCTCTCCTTCTTACCCACAAATCGTCACCTCTAATCTACACGTCCATCTCATTCTCCGGGGAATTGGGTCGCCGGAAAACCAGAGATCTCTCGGTGGTGACTAGGGTAGGCCCCAGCACCAGCAGCTATATCTTCACATTTGTGCTCCCACTCTCTTCTCGCCATCACCGTCTTCCCTTCAATGAGAATTACTGATAAGCTTGATCAAGTCTTTCTTGAAGAGGTACATTTACATATGTATATGTATTTCACTTTCTCTTTTGAGTTCTTTGAGTCTGATTGTTTATGCCCAGAGATTTTCTTTTGTGGGGTTGCCTATAAAGTACGAGGTTGTGGTTGTTTCTGGTTTCATTGGTTTGATGGAATTTGATTGTTGGTTTGCCTGATTGTGCGATGTGGAAGGCTTGCTTGTTTGCATTCTAGATGTTTGATGGTTTGATAAACAACGGGTTAACAACACACAATCCATAAGTAATTTATGATTGAAAAAGTATGGTTGAAGTATTGTTAGTTGTAACCCCAAGGGGTAACTTAAGTGGTAACATAGACGTGTTGTAAACCTAAACGTCCTGACATCGAATTTTGGCAACTCCTTGGGAGCATATGGCATTTATCCTTATTGAATATCCTAGTCCCATGTGGATGGTCTATATTTGACCGGATTGGAGAGAAAATTAATCGAAGTGTGCATAAGTTGGCCTAGACACACATGACCATTGAACCCACAAAAGAAGCTTTATTAGTTGTACTTGCATATGAGTGTTACACTTCATGATTGCCTTTGCATTGATATTATCATTTTTCTCTCTTTAGATGTGGTAGGAAACTAGTTCTTTCGCCTAGTTAGAACACAGAAAAAAAAAAAGAAAGATGTTTGTTGTTTGGTGACCAGGGATGCACTTTATATATTATGCTAGTACCTGTAATCATCTGAGGGGAGTGCATAATCTATTGTCTATTGCAGAATTGCCAAAGTTGTTCAGATCTTCCTGACATCATAGTCTTGTGACTCTTGTGTCATAGAGGGGTCTCTATTCTGTAAAATCTGGTCATTCATTTACGAGGTTTCTTTCTGATGCTCTAGAGTTGCTGGGACTGTTGTTGATGGTGGATTTGACTCTGCAAATTATATTTAGCCTCTTTAATTGGTATAAGGTAATGGTTTCAGCCTCATGCTTGCTCTAAGCAGGCTAAGGGGTATGAGACTGAAACCATTCCCTTATTCTAGCAAAGACATTGATTTCTATATTTAGGATCAGTTTACTTTTTTCATAGCAGTTTAAAATTATTTTTCTTCATAACATTTTACACCTCTCATTTTTTGAGATTATTTTTTTTACAAAGTGAATCTTATATGTGCAAGCATTTTGGGGACTCTAAACCGAAATTTATCAAGTAGTTCAAACATTAGTTAAAACATGTCATCACAAAAAGCCCCGTTGTTTACTGCTATATTGTGACAAGATCTAATTAAACTCGGCTAACTTGAGAAAAAACATGTGTTAGAGTTTGAAATCATGCCTTTTACCCCTGCGAGGCCTTAATCATTGAGAACAGCCATCCTCATTGAGCATGAAAGACCTTGACCTCTTCCATTAGTGATATCAAAATCTCTCAACCAAGTTATTTTAAGTTTTCTAGGATTCGTATATCTACACGTTAGGGCATGTGTCTTTTGTATTGCGATCTCAACCATTATCTTTAGGTCTCATTTATCCATCTAATAATAATAACATAATGTTACCATTATGGTAAGGTCGTAGTTTTAACTCTGGGGTAGCTAAGCTACTTTTTGAAAACATTTTGTTTAAAGACTTTGGGCGTATTTGGTTTGGTTTTGCAAAACAGGTTTTTGTTTTTAGATACAAAAATTTGGTAAAAAACTGTTTGGATAGAGGAGTTTTTAAAAACAACTTTTGAAAAAAAAGGAAGATTGAAGACAAATTTTAAAGAATAAGTAAAAGGTATTTTTGGGTGTTTTGAGGACAAAAAAAGAGACCGGTGAAAACACGAAAAAGCCCAAAATTTTTTTAGTGTTCACTTAAGTGGGACTATAAAAGGCGTCTTTTCTCTCTCCTGACTTTTGTTGTTTAGCTTGACTCTGAACTTGACGAAACAAGCAAGGGCCCCTCTCTCCACCGTTTGCACTTCAACCCGAAGAACAAGAGATCTCTCTAGCGAAGGTGTTGGAAAAAATGGTTTTAAACAAATTATTTGAGCAACTTGAGGTTTAAATAAAAGTGGGACTCACTCCTCGAAATTGGTGGGATCAAGTTTAAACGCGTTCTCCTCTGCGAGGAGATTAACGTGATATATTTATTTGTCCAAAACTATTAAGATTTGAATGAAAATTATGTCTCAAAGTGACCTATTTGAAGTGATGAAATAAACTGAGATTGGTATAGTAAAATAAGGTTTGTCTCACATTGAAAGAAGATCAACACTTTAGTGAGTTAATATACTCCTAGTTGGTTTCATAGGTTAGGCCCTAAGGAGTACCACACCTTTGTGAGTGGAGCGAGCACCAATACTACCTTAGTTATCATACGCGCATGTGCACCTCCCGACTGGGCTCGGGCTTGGGTCATAAAAACGTATAATATTTTTGAAAAAAATTTATTTGGACTAGTGAGAGTCATGGGTCAAACTAATCGGATCCGAACGTGGATGAAAATTAAAATTCCAACCAAAATTTAAATCCAACCGGATTTTTAAGTTTTTATCCATTACTTTGAATTTGACGCCAAAATGGGTTTGGTTCATTCTAAAGTGTCTGTTTATTTTAGGAGGTGCCTTTTGCCTATTTAGATTAAAAAGTGTGTCTCTTCAATCTGAACAGTAGCAATCCATGTCTCTTCAGACAATCTAAACAGCTACCAAGGGTCTATAAATAGATTGTTCCATTGTCATTTTAATCCATCCCAATTCTGATTCCAGTTTCAGACTTTCTTCTCTCTTTCTGCATATTGTTGCATTATTCTTTAAGTTCGGTTCAAGTATAAACACAAATTGTGTTCACTAGAATCTTGAAGATTGAAATGCTGTTTCTTTGAGAACGTAAAACCTATTCTATCTTGGGAGACAGTTGTTCATCAACTTTGAGCACTGAGAGGGAGCAAATCTGTCTTAAGGAGATTGTGTTTCATAAGGTTCGGATTATCTATTCTGGTTTTCTTATTAATTGTTCGTGCAACCCAACATCCGTGTGAGTGCACTCTTTTTGATTTTTATGTATTTTGTTTAGATTAGTGCATAAGACAGACTTTATACAGTTTAATATAATCTAATTATATACATATTTTTTATAACAAAAGGTTTCATCGTCGTTCGATCTTTTTTTTTTTCCTAGTAGATACATGGATCTGATGTGATTTCTTGCAAATTTGATAAAATAATGTTAGGAACAAATATTTTTAAACCTTTTTTTGAAAATAATATTAGATCCCAAAAATTTTTAGAGGTTTTTGAAAGGCATTTTCACAGATCTAGATTTGGGTTTACAGATTACAGATATAAAATTCTTTTTGTAAAGCATCTTCTCTAAAAATCTAAAAATCCAGCCAAAAACAACAAACCCATCTGAAATACACATCAAAATCGAACTGCTTCTTTTCGGAAACCAGCCATCGTCCTGGGCATTTCATGGCCTTCAACATATTCGGTGGTGTGTAAAAGTTGCTATGTAAAGTTGGCCTCTAACCCCACTATTCTTTGTAAAAGTTGTTGTGCAAAGGGTTGATTGCTCACTTTTTTTTTCTGCATTTGTATGTATGACATTCATCTTTTTTAGTGTTCTTTGAATAATGTTTTGTCTTCTTTTTGTGCATCTGACCCCACTATATGTTTCTTCTTGTGATATAGTAAAAATATGGCTTCTAATAGCTCATCAAAGGGCCGTGGAGGAGCAAATCTGGCTGTTCAACTCGAAGGTTCACACATTGAGCAATCAACCCTTAATCAATCCTCAATCGGTGAAAACGACCAACATTTGTCGGACGTCTCATTTGACCAGGTATCAGTTTGTTCTTGTTTCAGGTGTATGTTGTTTCTGCTGCCTTCGTTATGTGTGTTTTTTTGTGAAATCATGTTTTGTGTATATTCATTGGTCTTTGTATGCTGTCTGTGTTTTGGTTCATTTGGTTTCTGCTGCCATTGAACTTCATTTGGTACGGTTTTCTAGTTTTCTTAGATCTTGACTTTTAAGCTGGAAGAAGGATCATATTTAATGTTTATGTGGTCTATAAACTTACTGGTGGTGTTTGATTCCATAAAATATGATGAAATTGGGGTTAATTGTTAAGCTTCAGATTCACGACCATAGAAGTTGGAGCTCAAATTCATGGGTTTTGGGAGAGATCCCGAAGAAACTATAGATGCTGGAAATGAGGAATTTAAAAACGAAAATTATGGTGTTTAAATCATTGAAACTAGTGGAGAAATGGGTGAGTAATTGAACAAAAACCGAGAGGATCCACTGGTTGAGAATAAAAACTGACAGAAACCTTCTGCTCTCTTTGAACTTCATTAAACTATATTTGGTTCACACATTTGGTTGTGTATGTTGTTGTTGATATTTGTATTTGGTTTCAAGTGGTTTCTACTTGCAAACCAGTGACACTTTGGGTTCTTTCATTGTGAATAAATGATTATCAAAGGGTGTTAATATGTGATGTATATTTTGTTCGATGTCATCACAAGGTATTGAGTGTGACGAAATGGCCCAATGGCTACCGAGGGCTGAGGAGTTATTTATTAAACTCCTGGTGACTGAGGTAGAGAAGGACAATCCAAATTGTACGAACTTCAAAGCAAAGATTTGGAGAAATTGTGAGGTTGATATGACCCAAAAAATGGGTTGTACTTACATTGTTCCAAATCTTAAGGGCAAATACAATAGGTTGAGGAATAAATATCGGACTTTCAAAGAACTTCTTTCAACTATTGGTTTTGGTTGGGATCCAGAAACAAACATTGTGACAGCTGAGGAAGATGTCTGGGCGCAATTTATTATGGTATGCATAGTTTTACTTATTAGTATATAGTATTTAGTCTAGTTAGTTATTTCTAATATTAATGTTAATACCCCCTTTTTTTTTTGTTTTTTCTTAGACGAACCCACAGGCGAAATGTTTTTGCAAGAAAGGGTGTGACCACTTCAACTTATTGGGACTTATCTTTGAAAAATCTATAGCCACAGGCATTTTAGCACGTACTTCTACCCAAGGACCCCTAACTTCTAATGAGGAGAGAGAGTTGGAAGAGGAGTTCATGAATGGTAAAAAAAATCATCTGCTAATCTTGACGATGATCTTGAAGGCCCATTTGACCCACCACCTAAAAAGAATGTAAGCACTTCATCACAAAAGGAGAGCAAGAGTTCTAAGATAGACAATGCCATTGATGCATGGATTGCATTCTCAATTGTGAGGTTGGAGAAATACAAGTGTAGTGGTCACAATAACCATGTAGATGACCCTTATAGCATTGAGATTTGCATGGATGTGTTAGAGGCTATAAAAGATGTTGACTCTCAACAATATTTTCGTGCTTGTGCCAAGTTCAAGGACCATGAGTGGCGTCAAATGTTTCTTAAGATGTCTGTACTGCGTAGGAAGGAGTGGCTTGACCAGATTAAGTGTCATTTCTTTTGCTTAATTATGTATGATACTATTTAGGCATGGATGTCCACCATTTACTTATTATTATGTGGTTTTCTAGCTTGTAAAACTTTAGTTGACTTATTATTATTGTGGTACTTTAGTGGTATTTGTTGTTGCTCTCTTTATAACTTTTATGCATTATAATAATAGTAGTGTTTATCATCTTTGTAGTTACACTGACAAATACTGATGGCCACTCAAGTGATGGCTCAATAAGCTCATCAAGCAGCTTGTATGATGATTTGAACGATATGTTTTTTGTCACTATACTTTGCCTATACGCCAACAATCGATTGTTCAAAACACCATGAATGACATCTACTTTAATTGGACAAGAATGGGTTATGGGATTGTTGAACAGAAAGCTATAACAGAGTATAATTGTCTAAGGAAGGATGTCAATACATTCCTTGTATTGTGTAAAACATTGCACGATGCCGCTCACCTAAAAGAGGACTATCACAACCGTTTGACAACTGAGGAGTCTGTTGTTATTTTTTTACTCATAGTTTTATATAGTGTTAGACATAGGCTTCTTGTTGAGATGTTTCAACACTCAACTGAAACTATTAATTAACAATTTGAGAAAGTTATGCGTGCATTAGTCAGTCTAAAAGTGTCAATAATTCGGTCACAATTTTTGTATGAAATGTCACCTGAGATATTATATGATGAGTGATATTACCCATGGGTTTGAGGTAATATCTACACTTTGTCAATAAATTTTATTTTCCTAGTTAAAACACACTTTGTAAATATAGGATTGTATTGGTGCAATCGATGATACACATGTTGCATGGGCCCCTGCTTCTAAGCATAGCGCTTACGATTCGCGTGTTTTTATGAATGCTATAACAAATGAGAATCAACTTTCCTATGCCGCCAGAAGGTTGGTGTGCATATTGATTTCATTCCTATTAGACAAGCAATGATGTTAACTAATTGATGTTGACAATGTGCTTTTCACTAGGGATGTACTATGTGGTAAATGCAGGATACACAAACATGCCTAGATTTCTTTCATTATAACGTGGTGAGAGATATCACATTCTTGAGCATAGAGTTAATAGATGTGCACCATGTGGACCAAGAGAGCTATTCAACTATCGTCATTCATCTTTGAGAAATGTCATTGAGCAATATTTTAGAGTGTTGAAAGCAAAATTCCCCATATTGACTACAATGCCAAAATACAAACTTGCACGTCAACCAATTATTGTAACTGCTTGTTGTGTAGTTCATAATTTTATTCATATGCATTCGGCTTGTTACATTTTCTTTCAGAGGTTTGTATCTAAAGATGTGCCATTAGATAATGATGGACAGAGTTTCAACAATCAGCGGTTCAATGAATTGGATATGTCATCAATACAACTCAACACTATTTCCCACTTGACAGATACAATGAGTGCAAATATGTGGGTTGCAGTTTCTCGTGATAGTTGAACTTACATGATGTTCAAGTCAGTGTTATTTAAGGCGTAAAGCGAATCGAAGCGGCCAAGGTTCCTAACGCCTAAACGAGAAGCGAAGCGATATGCTTTATCAAAGCAAAGCGAACAGTTAAAAAAATATATATTTTAGTTTAATTACTTCTAAACAATCTAAGTTCTAATTTTATATATATTAAATATTTAAATACAAGTAAAACCATAAACATTTAAATTGAAACAAACACTAATAATATCTCAAATTTTAATAACAGTCATAACTTAAACATTTAAATTCAAACAAATACTAACAATTGTATAAATTTTCATATTGACAAGGTAGGACAACAAAAGAAGCAGAATCAGGACAGCAGCAGAATCAGCAACAAAAAAAAAAAAAAAAGCAGAATGAGGATAAAAAAAAAAACAGAAGCAGCACAACATAGCAAAACCGAAACAACAACAGAATCAACAAAAAAAAATAGAAGCAGAATGAGCTAAAATAAAAACAGAAGCACAATGATCATGACAGGAGCAGAATTAATTGTAAACAATTTCATATGTAATTATGTACTGAATAAAAAAAGCAGAACAGAGACACATTTCACATGTACTAAAATAATTAAACATGGTATAAGCATAGACCATTTTTTGGTACCATTTGTATATATATAAGAAAAGGGAAAAGTATAACCAAGACACATCAGAGACATTTCTTTGTAGAAGACTCTATTATTTACCCTCATTCCTGATATTCCAGCTTCCTTTCTTTATCATAATTTTGCCATGCAGTCACTTGACTCCTACATCCCACAAATATTCTAAATGAATTTAGCAACATAAGGAAAAAAAAAAAAAGAATGTGTTTTGTTCGGAACATTGTTTATCAGCAAAAAAAAAAAAAAAATAGACAAGCGATAATCTAAAAAAAAGTCATCAGTGATTAAAAAATAAAATTGACTACTAACCTGTGATCAGAAAAAGAAAAAAAAAAAAAAGAGGAGCAGAATCACCTCTTATAATAAAGTGTTCGTTTTTTCGCTTATTCGCTTTTTCTCGTTTCGCTCACGTTCGCTTCGCCTGGGTTGCTCCAGGCGAGATAAGCTCGTCTCGCCTTGCTTCTCGCCTAGGCTGAGTTTTTCAAAACACTGGTTCAAGTATTAGCAAATATTAGACATCAAAATGTAATATTTTTAATATATTGTTCACCCATAACTTGTTTTTTTATCACCTTCTTAATGCACTATTTATGTTGGATTTGATATTTTATATGTTATAATATGAACTATATGGTTGTGATAATGAATACCAACACCACTTGGACCTTGTTGATCGTAAGGGTTGACTCATTTGTGTATGTTATGATTGTAATATCATTTTGTGTTTCAGCTTGTTGTTTTTACTGTTTTTACTTGTGATCAACACGGTGGAGAAATGATCACCTCTCTCATTGTAATATAATGTAGAAGTCAGTGTTGTGAAAAGCGAGCCTAGGCGAGAAGTGAAGTGAAGCGAGCGCCTTGAACATCCCAGGCGAAGCGAGTAAAAAGTGAGCCTACGCGATGAAGCGAAGTAGTGAAGCAGGCAAGAAAAGTGAACACCTGGCAATTTTTTTAATAATTTGATTGATTCATCTAACAGTATCATATGATAATCTGTCTTATTATGATTAGATGATATTGAATGCTCTGTTTTGATGAGAATTGATGTGAATACTCTTGTTAATCAATTTGTTTGGTCAATCAAATTGATTAATCAATTTTCTATATGCTCTATTTTATTAATCAATTTTTGAGTGCCCTGTTTAATGGTGATATTAATCAATCACGGTGGAGGTTGAACCCACATTTGCTAACTTTACATTTAAATGATGTGATTACATCAATTAATAATTTTTAGAATGTAATAATATTTAATATTTAATATCTTGTCTATTTAAATTATGTTGATGTTTATTATTTTGATTGCATTTAAATATTTTGTATTTGTAAAGTTAATACTTAAATATTTAGAAGTAATCAAAGTATCAAACTAAAATATTTGTTTATTTTTTATATTGTTCGCTTTGCTTCGATAAAACGCTTGCTTCGTTTCTCGCCTAACCTCTCAGGAGACCAGTTCGTTTCGATTCCCTTTACGTATTAAATAACACTGATAGAACTCTTATAAACGAACAATGGGATGTATTATGTTAGAACTTCTAATATGATCTTATGAGTAGAACAAATGTTCATATTAATTTTTTTTTTGGGCACTCTAGGATAATTTTATGTTAGTTTTTATCAAGTTTAACAAATTGAAATTTTTTCATGTGAAACAGTCAATCCAAACATCTCTGTTTTTATTATTTTTTGTCTTCTTGTCCAAACATGTTTTTTTGTTTTTTGTTCTGTAGAACTGCTTTTAAAATCATATATAACTAAACAAGTTTTGCGGTACAAAGAACATTTTTTTAAAACTCTTTCTAAAAATTATTTTTAAATACTATTTTTTGAGATTTAATACACACACCTTTAAAAAAAAAAAATACTTAACATAGCATTTTTCCTGATTCGTTCCATTTCCTCAAGAGAAATGTTACATGAACTTAAAAAGTAGATTTAAAAATTAGATTTAATAATCTCAACTATTTAACAGATAGTGAGTTTCAATAAATGCTAGAACCCACAGTGAAATCAATAATTTTAATTTTTAAATACATATAAAAGTAATGTGCTTTATACCATTTGTAATAGGAAACAAGTGCAAATAATAAATGTACTTATGTTACAAGATACAATTACATTTCTTTGCAAAACAGTAATAAAACTTGACTTTGCTTTTTCGATAAACTTGTTCTTTTTTTTTTTGGGTGCGTGGGGCGGGGGGGGGGGGGGGGGGGGGTGGTTGAAAATCCTTTAAAAGCTTCACCAAATATACGCCTAATTCTAGTTCATTTGTTGGATTTTTTGAAGCCATTATTTTATGGGTACCCTATGGGTAGAGAATATAGTTGTTCGTCTTCTTACATGATACTTTGCGAAAGAAATTTTTTTGGCCTACCTTACTCGACTTCTGTCCAAATTAATCGTGTAGGAAGTTGGATAAGAAATTGGGTGAACACTTTTGTAATTATTAATTTTTGAATCATTTTAATAATTCAATTAAATAACTTGCACCTTTTTAACAATAGCATAAACCAATAACATTAAAACATAAAACAATTACAACAACAATTATAATAAAATATAAGAAAGTCCAAGGCATAAATATCAATCTATTATAATTGTTGTACAAATATAATAACTACTATTTTAGGTTTAAACCATATTAAACACATCAAAAATCATAATTGTTCCAATAGATTACTACAAATCATGTAACCTGCACAAAAAACAAGTCCATGTTTTAACAAATCAAACATCCACAACAATAACAATGTTGTAAATTATACTATACAAATAATCTTATAATTACTAAAAAAATTTATAAATAAATAAATATATGTAGGGTAGGGTAGGAATACGGAATATATATATAAATAAATAAATATATATATATATATATATATATATATATATATATATATATATATATATATATATATATATATATATATAAGGTATGATAGAAATACAAAAATTTGATGGGTATTCCGCATTTCTACCCAATTTAATTAGAAGACCAAAGAATCTTTCGTATTACTACCCGATTTTTTCGGCTAGCCAATCAATAGTGTCGGATAAAGTCAAGTAGAGTAAAAAATTACAGATAATCGAAAATTTAAACACCCCTAATGGATACCTTCAAGAGTTCTATGAATGATTTTTTTTTTCCCCTTCAAATCTTGTTTATCTTTACAAGAGAAGATTTCATGTGAAATTTCCAAGGTTTGCCATGTTTTCGTTACGCTTGTGAATTTGTTCTGTACATATTGTTACTTGTTGCATTGTTTATAAATTTCATTTTTTCAATGAATCAGCTTGAAACCAATAAAGCAATGAAAGAAGCGAAAGAGGAAAATGGTGAAGTTGGCATTTCTTTAGGGGAAGAACCTGCACTTCCACGCTTCTGTAACCGACGCAGACGAAAATCTGAACCTTCATCTATGTAATGTAGCTTTTGTTTTGAGAGTTTGACTAGAGGGAGCCGGTACTGTTGATAGATAAAAATATGCAAAGAAAATAGTAGAATGAACTTCCCAATTTTACATTGCAACTTGTAGTTTGGATGAAGTTGCTTGTAACTTTTAGGCCAATCCAACTTTAAGAAACCACATCTCTCTCTTCTTTTTCTCTCTTTTTCTTTCCACTTGTGGTGTCCAAGAATGAACACCTTTGAATGGTTATAATAGTCGAATTGCCACTAAAACCGCAAGGTTTCGGTTGCTTCGAAAACTTTTCGAAAACAAGCAAAATTTTAAAAATTTATTTCCATAACATTTTACAAAAATTTGTCAAAATACACCAAAACATTTTAAAACACCTTGAAACACAGCAAAATATTGATAAAAAAAATTAAACTTAAAACATTGTAATTTTAATTTCTTCATTAATTCATTTCGATCTCCTTAAAAACGAAAACGTTTTAACTGTTTCGACCATTTCAAAACAAAATTTGAGCCTTATTATTTTTTTTCTTTCAAACGGGGTGATCTTTCTTCTCACTGCAACAACCTAAAGGCTTGAATTCCCTACAACTAAGAGATTTCAGATTCTAGATTCCTTTTTAACTCATCAACTGGAATCTTTTCTCACGGGCTTAGTCTAATGGTAAGATTGCCCCATTATGATCGGAAGATTAGTGATTCAAGTCATGAAAATAATCTCTAAAAATAAGTTGATAAGACTAACAATGGTTAAGAGTCTTGTACATTAGACGGCCCAACTCAAAGTTTTTCTCTGATAAAGTAGAACCTCTTGAGCAAAACATATTCCCAATCGAAAATTTTGGCATAAATGTTGCGCACGTTACTAACCCTGCTGCAAAGATGAGTTAACCATGAAAATGAATGCTGTGGGTGCCTGAAGTAACGACATTGTGAGTTAATGCATGTTCATGCACACGAGGTAAAGAAATCACAATGGTACAGCAACTGTCATCTGGTATGTGGCTTTGATAACGATGCAAATCTCACGAAAAATCGTTCTACTTCTACCTCAAAAAATCTTAAATATAAAAAGATTAACATTAGTTGAAGTGCACTACATGCATTACCTGTTACTTGTTCGGATAAATGAGCCTGCAACATTCACCTGGCAGAATAAATCAACCACTGTAACCTCAAGTTCCATCTCTTGGAAGATAGTTTCTAAGCTCCAGTATATTCGGGAGAACTTCATTTTATACCAGACATTAAAAAGGGTAAAGTTCTGAACAACACTAATATATAAGTAGCAATTTAATCTGGAGTATATCTTTGGAAGAGCACAAAGAGTTACCAAAGTCAGTGCGATATTCAAGCGTCACCCATTCACCAAATAACACAGCAAAAGTGATAAGAATGATACCTGCACTTCGCGATTGACTATGATGCACATGAAGATTGTCTTGATATGCTGTTGTCCAAAAGCTCACTCAAATTAACATCAGCAACTAAATGCTCCAAAACAAAGGTACAGAAATGATATAACTAGAGTAAATCAACCTGTTGCTCGATTGAAACATATCTAGCTCTACACAATCCTCTGAAGCTGGTGCTTGTTGATAACAATCTTGAGCTGTTGATACAAGTTTTCTGCAATAAAGCTCCAAGTAAAGCAATGCTCTGAAGAAAAGATTCCTGTTCAAGGATGACACTCATTTTAACTGCTTAGACAGCCACAAGAATATGACTGACATGGTAATGGTAGAAAGCTGCATTAATTATTGGTCCGCTTTGGATGCTCAGATTGATTTCCCATCCTCCAAATCATAAGAAACTCAGAAACACATTACAATCTGAGGTTTTACACTAATGAGAAGAAAGGTCACTCTTTGGCTGGCAATGAGCAAACTCAGCAAATTGCACATTTCTTCATCAAAAGAAACAAAGCACAGAAAAGGTATTGAATGATAATAATTTCACAAAACTTAGGAAACCAGTTTTCTCAAAGCCCTTCATGAACCAGCCTAAACCCAATATTTACCAAAGGTTAGTAATTCAAAATCTCATTCTCTTCAATGAAATCAATTAAAGTGTTATGAAGCAGTGTAGCCAAATGTAAGTTGCACAAAATTACATATACTTGCGTCTCTGTATGTGTATGTGTGTGCGCATAAGTAAAATAGGAGTGATATACAAGGGTAACAACAGAAAATGGTTCTGTGGATATACGATCCGGAGTCCTGAAACAGTCCGATGGTCACTATGGAAACAGTCTTGCTAGAGGGGACAGATCCCAATCATAAGTATAACAATTAGCATTGCTGGTTTGGTGGCTGCCAGCAACGTGACATCAGCCCTTTGGTTGCTGAAAAAGCTGGAGACAATGAACATATATCTAGATACTGGAGCCTGGAAGAAAGTGCGAAATTAGTTCTTGTTTACCAACTGTCTCTTACTTGATTCCAAGGATTGCTGAATTGTTGACAGAAATCAGAGTTTTAGCCTTATTTGTTCCTGAATTGAACTCCCCCCACCGTTCTCTCTCTCTCTCTCTCTCTCTCTCTCTCTCTCTCTAATGTTTCTGTTGTACACACACTTGTCTGTTCTTAAGGTGGCCTCATACTTTCCATCGGCCTCAGTCATGGTAGTTGTAGTTGTTTTTGTTTCATACAAAAGATAATGCTTATAGAGTGAAGATCAAAGAATCATTCGGCAAAAAAAAGGCAACTCTACATGGCAAAGGTGATAAGCAAATGACACTTCATTTGTCTATGTATCCAGCTGCCCTACTGAAATCGAGGAATACTCTCTGGCAAATATATTTAAAGATATCAGATGACATTTTCTGCAGGAAGCAAACCCAGTGGCATGCTTTTAGAAGTTAGAACCAAAATCCTTTGTTAAAGCTGTTCTCTATTCTACACTCAACACAAGGAAAATGAATGCAAAATAAGAATTGTGGACGCCTCCATTTATCAAGCATCTTGAATTCAAGCTAAGTGCTATCTGAGTTCATTTTGTTTTGGGAACACCATGGTGACAAACTTGAGTTTTGCGGAGATTCCATATCAGATTTTTAAGTGAAAAGTGTTAATAAAATGGTTATTTTACCTAATAAAATGGTTATTTTACCCATATTTGATGGGCAACAAAATTAACAAATTACAAGATTCAGCCGTAATCAGATCAAACAGAATCTTGATAGATTTGATTCAAGCTAGATCCACAACCAATAATGATATAGTGAGCAGGTTTTATTAAAATGCATGCTAAAAGTTTCTAACTGCATACCATATAAATGATCCACTACCTGATTCCACTTTTCAACTTTCCAGAAGTTTGCAGCCCTTTGATTTTAACTTGGACTCCAAACCAAAAAATTTTAATCCACACAGCACTAAGTCTGCTGTTTTCTTCTTCATGTGGTCAATAAGTTTCTCATCGTAAACAATCAAATTGGCTTCAGTTAGGACCTTCCGCTCTCTAATATTTGAAAATATTTTTCTTGCCTCCTCAATTGTTCCATGCTTGCACATGCCACAGATAATTGCAGAATATATAATATCATCAGGAGGACAACCCTGTTGTATCATCTCATCTAGAACTCCAATTACCTTCTCAGCATCGTTTGATTTGCAAACATGGAGAATTGTAAGTGTATATTTAAATCCCATGGGTCCACTGACAACATTGGCTAAACAGTCACGAATGAGCATCATAGCGGCATCAATCTCTCCAATTTTGCAGAGTCCTTTAACAAGAGAACAATAGGCAGCAACAGAGGGGACTGAAGAAATCTCTTTGATTTTCTTATAGCATGCAAACGCCTCTTGGATATCTCCAACTTCAATGAAACATGTTATAACAATGCTGAAGGTTAAGGAGTCAGGTTCAAAGTTCAGATCCTTTAATTCATGGAAAAGTGATATTGCTTTATTTACCTCCCCAATCTTGTGTAAAGCCTCCATAAGAATATTATAGAACGAAACATCTTGGTAACCTTTTGCCTTCAACTCTTCAAACACTTCTAAAGCCATCAGGACTCTACCATCATTTCCCACCATAAATGATAAGAATTTCGAGAGATCGCCATTGACACTAAAACCCAAATTCTTCATCTGAACGAGCAATTTGCGCAAGTCATCCATTCTCCTAGACTCTGCGTAACACACCAACATGGGATTCACAGTCATAAAGTCTGGTTGGAGATCCTCTTGAATTGAAACTTGGAAAAGCTTATAAGCTTTATCAACTCGGTTTGCATTACATAAGCCTTCTATCAGGGAGTTATATATTGCCAAGTCAGCCCTATACCCTGAGTCCATCAAATCCTTCAGCAAATCACAAGCAGAACCAACCTTCCCATCTGCAACAAAAGCCTCAATCAAAGACCCATAAATGGCCCTATCTATTAAACACCCTTTCTCTTTCATCTCCTTAAAAAACTCATAACCTTTCACAACTAAGTTCTCTTTGCATAACCCTGTGACAAGAGTGGTATAAGCCATAACATCCGGCTCAATCTTATCCCTTCGCATTTCCTCCCAAACCCTTAAACACCCATCCAAATTCCTCTCAGAGACCAATGCCCTCACCATTGCTGTGTACGCAAACACATCTGGCTTACACAAATTCCCCCTCATCCGACCCAAAAGATCTAAGACTTCATCCATCTGTCCTGCTTTACACAATCCCTTTATCAAAATCATAAAGGTAACACTCTCCTCTACCAACCCATCCTCCTTAAAATCATTATAAACTGACATTGCCAAATCCACATGATTTGTTTTGACTAATGCATCCATTATCTTATTATACAAAAAAACACGTGGTTTCACCCCAAATTTCTTCATCTTCTCATACACATAGTACACCCTAAGACCTCTGTTAGCATCAGCATGCATTCTAATCAAAATCTCAAATTGTTTCTCGCTAGGTGGCTTCCCTTGCATGTGCATTAACTCAAGTACTTGATCAGCTGCCCGAAACTGATTAGTTCGATTCAAACAATACGCAAATGCATTGTAACAAGCAAAATCGTGTTTATAACCTTTTTGCTTACCTGCCCAAATGATTTCAACAGTAAGAAAACTATATTGTAACAAACAAAAACCATATTTACAACCTTTTTGCTTCAAAATCCAGCTCGATCTGAACAATTAGTAATATGGATTGTAACATGCTAAACCATGTTTGTCCTCTTATTTGCTAACAAGCCCATATTAATTTAGAATAAACCAAATAAAAAGACATAATTGTTCAAGAAATAATCGTTTTGTTTTACCTGCCCAGTGGAAGAACTTGGACGACAGTCTTGGGTCTATATGTGGGACCTTGAGGACCTCGGAAACGAGCTTCGGGGTGACACGGCGGAGCTTGTTGAGGTCAGCAACAATAGGTGGGCCCCATTGCTTGTGTTTCCTCAGGGCATCAACAATATAACGGGCAATCGGAGAGAGAGTTTGGGCAATGGAGAAGAATTGGTGTGACGGGTCTTTGGAGGGTGGAAGTGAGAGGCATTTGGGTGAGTCTGGGTCCCACTTTTGGAGGTCAAAGGGTTGCTTTGGTTTATGATGGTGAGTTGGGTTCTTTGGGTTGAGGGTTTGGCGGTTGGAGAAGAGGCCACCATGGACGGTGGGGCGGTTCTGGGTGGGTATGCGGTGGCCGTAGAAGAAGTAGGGTTTGATGGGTTTGGTGGGTGGGGATTGTGGTGGCATTTTGGGGTTTGTTTGTACCCTTTTGTTTCTTTCACATTTGTAGTTTGTTGCTCTTCTTCCGCTGGAGTGTTGAACAATTCCTATTATTGTTTGGGAGATTAGCATATCACGACCTTATTTTAGATGTAATTGCATAAGGAACCCTAAAAATTCAGTCACTTCTACAGTTAAAACCATAGTTATTTAAACCGGACTGGATATCAACCTGGCAAATGGACCGAGTTAATGGATCACTGGTTCAATCATTATGTTGATCGGTTAAACCGGTCTTACATTATAAATGTAAAAATAATTAGTCATATTATTAATTATGCTAAAAAATTAGTATATTAGGAATAACCAATCATAAATTTCATAACCAGTGTACATAAACATGAATAAACACCAAGATCAAAGATTCAAAATTCTCCAAAAATAGGGGGTTCAATCTGAAACTAAGGACATGCTATATAATATTTTCAAAACATGGGGAGAAGTACAAATTTAAAACTAAACAAATATACATACACAGACTCAAGTATTCCCAATACAATCGCCTAGATGATTTCCTTACGCTACTATGAATGATCTTGGGGATCGTGATGTGAGAGATGAGAAAAATAGAAAAAAAAAAATCCAACTCAATATATTGGCATATTTGATGAGTTGGGATGCATCTAAGTCTGCAATAATAGTCAATAGCCACATTAATGTTCACAAACAGTACTCCACACACTATGCACATAAGGCAATTGATTCTAACTTTTTAAGCAAATCTGGAGCATCAACGGATTCTGCAGAAATTTTCAAGCAAATCTGGAGGCAAAAACATTTGAAGCATAAATCCAAGTGAGATTACCTCTCTGGTCTATGCCTTTGGCTCCCTATGCTTTGCAACTCTCAGTCCTCTGAAGCTTGCAAGGAGAAACAGGTGGTGGTGGGAGATTGCTATAGCAGACAGATGAGAGAGAGTGGGACGATGCCTGATTTGTGAATTTAGCATAGTTTTTAAACCTGGCCCAAACACCAACTCAGGAAAGGGATCAGACCAGTGGGTCACTAGTTCAACCTGGTCGGATTGGTAATACAATAAAAAAAATAAAAATATAATTATCAATGACAATAAATATGCTACAGAAATTCTGACAAAAAACGCTAAAAAATTAAAGTAACATGTTTAATATACATTAAATCAAATCAAAATGCAAAAATTATCAAACATCTATCCAATTTCCAAACAATACAAATTACAAACAAACCTTCTTGAAAAAAAAAAAAAAGGGAAAGCTACGGGTACCACCTGTTTTAAAAGAAAGACTCTAAAACAACATTCGTTCGTTCTACTAATAAAATAATCCTAGTCTCCTAGAACTAATAGAAATTTAGAATCCATCTGGTAATCCTAACCAATTGTAACATCAATTACAAGAAAAATTAAGTAAACGAGAGTATCTACAACACCCAGCAATATATAGCTTCGTCTCAAGATCCATAACCTCTGTGTTTTAAAGTGAACTTCATTAGCGCAGTTTCTAATTTCCGCAAGCATCGGGGTTCGGTGCTCAGTGCTAACGATTTGCGACTATTCCAAGCGCCGGTTTGGTTAGGAAGAAAAGAAAAAAAAAAAAAATTGATAGAAAATATATTTTATAAGAAAGTATTAAAAAAAAATTTATTTTATTGTTTGAAAAAAGGTAAAGATATAAATTTTTTTTTTATAATCGTGTAAATCACTCTTAATTATATATATTAAATAGGTCTAAAAAAAGAAAAAAAATATATAATTACAACTAAACGTTAAATCTTTTTAAAAAAAGGTGACTCGTAACATAATTCTAACTCTAAGAAAATCACCAACACAAATCACCAATACAAAGATATTTAGATTAAATTATATGATTAATTAAATTCATAACAAAGTTATTTAAAATTAATAATTAATAAAATATTTTTTAAAATTAATAATTAATAAAATATTTTTAAAAAAATAAGAATAAAATAAAAAGTTAGCTATAGATCACAATTTTTTTACATTTTTTTGTATTTTTGACACGAAAAAAAAGTTAATTATTTATAAAAAAATTCAACTATAAAAAAAAATTATTTTTTTCTATTATTTTTTTTTTCAGGCTAACCAAACAAATTAAATTCTAAAAAAATTTTCTTTCTTATATTTTCTTCCATTCTCCCGCTAAACAATCCAACCACAAGACAAAGATTTGGCTGTGCTCTAAGATGGTGGCATTGAAAACGGAGAAGTAATCTACAATTTTTCAGCTGGCTTCCGATGTGGTGAACGGCAGTGGTGAGAGAGACGGAGAAGAGAGTGAAAGAGATGATCTCAAACCAGAGATGATAATGTCAGATCATGAGATGAGGAGAGAACCGAGACTAGAGATATAGCAGAGGTAGAGACTTTGGTGTTCCAAGTTCAGAGCTTCAGAGAATCTGACGATGGTGGTGCCGTGATGGTGACTGCCCTGAGATGATCATTCGAGAGACGGGGAGAGACGAGCGACCGGCTGAGAGTCGATAGGCGTTTTGTGGAATTAGGGCAAAAATGCCCAAAAATATCTGATTTATGATTTTCAGTGATCTACCAGTTTAATATTCTGTTTGGTACAGTAAAAAAATAATTGATGAAAAATTATAGATATAAATAAATATTATATTTGATAAAGAAAAAAAATAAAAAGAACGGAAAAGGGGTGGATTAATTTTCTTTTCAACTCATTAAAATTAATCCCTCTTAAATCAAAAAAAAAGTGAATAAAAAATTAATTATTTGTGTTTAATTGTATTTTATTTGTTTATATATTTTTTGATATATACATATATTATACATTAATTTTTTATAAAAATAAAAATAAAACATAAAAAAAAATTCATCTTAGTTAGGGATGAAAATTTTCGATTCAATACGATAACGCGACTTGAATTCAATACGAATTTTATGAAACGAACTTGATTATATTTGGACATAAACTTGAAAATGACCTAACTCAATACGAATTTGACACAACTTAATTGTCACCCCTAATTTTAATCAGCACAAAAATAAAATTAATTATTTTCATTGTTCATCTATCCAATCAAACACAAAGAAAAAAAATTGTATCATTTTTACTTTCTTTCTTTGAATGATAAAAAATATATTTTTTCTACTTTCCACCATTTCTATCGCCGGTTTCACCGGTTTATCGAAAAACCGTGCAATTGAATGGTTTTTGAACGGATTTTTATTCTTGAACATCTAACTGATGAATCGGCCCGGTTCAATGTGCGGTTCTCTGAGTTTCTTGGTCACCCGTCAAGTCGGGCTGGATTTTAAAATATTGTAATTTAGGGCAAGAAAATTTCTTTTCATAGCACACGCGGCGAACCATCTGACTTTCAATAACTCGTCCAATCTATATGGATTTTGTAAAACTCACCCGGTTTTGCTAGGTTTGTGGGTCCGAAGCTTAAATTATCCAAAAAGCTAACCGGCCAGGCTAAGGTATAGGTTTGACTAATCGGGCCAGGCGAATGTCAATGACTATGGTTAAAACTATAAAACCTTTCTTGTGCGTGTAAGTGCGGGTATAGTTTTGTTATGCTTCACAGGAATAATTGGATTACTAAAAAAAAACAAATCAATATACTAAAGGAATTAGCATTGCTTATCTTGAATTTTTCACGACTTAGATTATTTAAAAATTAATAATTCGACGATTTTAATTGAACTTTTATTTTTTTTATAATTCTAAGATTCTCATCTCTCATATAACTCTCGTTATCTCATACTCCTTTCTTTCATTTTAAATTTTAAACACACTCTCCCACTCTTTGTCATGTGTCTCTCTCACATACCTATCTAATGCATCTCATTCACCCGCAATTACACACACTAAAAAAATCACTAACGTGCCTTCTCCCTCCCTCTATGTCTTTGCCAATACCCGTCAACACAAACACACACACACCCCGTTGTCGGTCACCGTCGAAATCAGCGATTAGTCTCTTACTCTTCTTCTGCCTCAATTACAGTGTGTGTGTGTGTGTGTTTTTGTTTGTGCGCATTTTGTGTGTGTGTTTTTCTGTGTTTTATCTGTGTGTTTTTCTGTGTTCTCTATGTGTGTATGCATCGGCATGTGTATAATTGGTAAATGCAGAGTGTGCGTAATTAGTGTTGGGTTTTGATTTTGTTACTTTTGTGCACTTTTTGTGAAAAATCGATTAATTTTCTATGTCTCTTGCTTTGCCACTGTTATGTTTGACTGGGACATGATTTATTTTATTGACTTTCTGTTAAATTTTTACTGCATGGGATTGAATTTTCCTTTTTGAGCCTGAAGTTAAAGGAAATTCTTCAAATGCAGAACCATGGGCATTATAAATTGGTTATTCCATTAGTCTTGGTATCAAGTCTCTCATTGTCCGTTTGAAGGACTTTGAATGGTTTGTATAGCTTTAAAATTGTTCAGTTCATTAACATGTAGAATTTTTATTCATTAACTTGCCACATTTTTATTCAAAACTTGCTCTTGCCAATCATCATCGACTACCCATCTTCTCACCAGTGGGTATTTGGTTCAATGATACTTCTTATCTTATAAAAATTTTACTTTGTTGAGGTCAAAGGTTTAAGTCCCCATTCTCAAGGTTTGCAAGAGTTAACAATTAACCCCGTTAACCGCATAACCAATAGTAGCACAATACCACAACTAATACTTAAATGAACAATGTCATCCAAATATTTGTATGATTTTATAGAATAAGAAAATATTTAAATGTAAAAAAAAAATTCAGGTTGTAGATATTCTATTGTAAGTTAAGTTGAATTTCTAATAGTAAAATTTGACCAATATATATATTAGTTATTATCTATATCTGAAGACACAGAATAATAAAAAAAAATATATATATTTGTATTCATATTCAAAATCAAATCATAAATATAGAGGAGAGATAAATGAATTTAAGCATCGGTTGTAGTGGGGGTGAGAGATGGTGGACGACAGTGGTGGTGATAGAAGGCCGTAAAGGTTGTGGTGGGTGACAGTGGTGGTGGCGACGACGGCAGCGATAGCGATGGTGGTGGCGGCGACGGTAGTGTTGGTGGCGATGGTGGTAGCGGTGGCGACGACGATGGTGGTGGTGGCGGCGATAGTGGTGGCGGCAGTGGCGGTGGCAGTGGCAGTGGTGGTGGCCGCAGCGACAACGACGACGGTGGTAGAGGTAGTGATGGGGCAGTTTCAAACACTTTTTTTTTTTAAAGTACTTATGAAAAATAATTTCTAGAAATACTTTTAAAAAGTCACTTCAAACACACCCTTTAGGCCCCCTTATTTTTCCTATTAAATTTTGGGTGTTAATATTAGCCATGAGATTAACTTTAAAATAAAATTTAAAAAAATCTGAACCGCGAAAAACAAAAGTCATTGTGTTTATCTTTTGAAATTTGAATTGTATTATACTTTATTATATATCAATCTATATAATAAAATAGCTTACAATTTAAATCTCAAAAAATAAACAAAATGATTTTTACTATTCGCGGTTAAGATCGTTTTAAATTTTACTTTAAAATTAATCTGACAGCTAATATTCACACCCTAAATTTAATAGGAAAAATAGGGCCCTAAAGGTGTGTTTGAAGTATTTTTTAGAAGTACATTTAGAAATTATTTCTCATAAATATTTTTAAAAAAATAATATTTAAAACCGCCCCACCATTACTTCTACCACCACCACTCCTCCAACCACTGCCATTAACATGACCACCACCACCAACACCACAACCACTGCCACTGTCGCCACCACTAGTGCCACCATCGTCGTCGCCGCTATCACCACCACCGCCACTGCCCACCACCATCGTCGTCGTCGCCGCCACCACCACCACCATCACCCCCACCCCCACCACCGCCATCGTCGTTGCCACCACCACCATCGTTGTCACTGCCACTACCACCACCATCGTCGTCGCCCTCGCCGCCACCACGATTATTGTCACTCACCACAACCATCACCGTCTCCTACCACTGCTACTGTCGCACACCACCTCTCACCCCCACTACAAATTAATATTTAAATTCATTTATTTCTTCTCTATATTTGTGATTTGATTTTGAATATGAATATAAATATGTTTATTGTTTACCATTTTTTATTACTATGTGCCTTCAGACACAGGTAATAACTAGCATAATAATAAAGTATAAGTCTCAAAAGATAAAAAAAAATGACTTTTGTTTTTCACGATTGAGATCTATTTAAATTTTACTTTAAAATTAATCCGATGACTAATATTAATATCCCAAATTTAATAGAGAAAATAAGCCCCTAAAGATGTGTTTGTGGTAATTTTTAAAAAATGATTCTAAAATTTATAATTTTTCATAAGTATTTTTTAAAAAAAATAGTGTTTGAACTACCCCACCACCACTATCACTGCCATCACCACTATAGTCACTGCCACCACACCACCACCTCTGCCACAACAACCACCACCACCACCACCACCACCATCACCACTACCACCATCCCCATTGCCCCACCATCACCATCGTTGTCGCCACCGTACCACTACCACCACCGCTACAACCCCACCACCACCTCTTTCACAACAACCATAATCGCTGCCCCACCACCACCATCGTCGCCACCACACCACCACGTCTGCCACAACCACCCACCACCACCATTATTACCGTCGACGCCATCACATCACCACATTTGCCACAAAAACCACCACCACCACTACCACTGTCCCCCACCCCCCAACACGACCATCATATCCACCTGCCCCACAACCATCATCACAACTACCACCAACCCCCATCGCCCCACCACCACCACCACCACTGCTGTCGTCATCCTACCACTATCCCCACAACCACCACCACCATCGTTGCCGCCACCTTACCAACACAGTCACTATCCCACCACCCCCACCACTCCACTGCTACCATCACTATTACCACCCACGACTGCCATCATTACAACCGGTCGTCATCACCCATAACAACTATTACCGTCTCCTACCACCACCACCACCACCACAACCATTGCCACTCACCACCACAACCACTGCTCACCCCCCACCACCACTCGCCCCTACTATAATGAGTGCTTAAATTCCTTTCTATCTCATCTATCTTTGTAATTTAATTTTTGGTATGAATACAAATATATTTATTGTTGATTGTTTATATATATATAAAACCCAAGGTAATCACCAATAAATAAAAACAAGTGATATCAATTGCACAAAAAAAAAAATTCAAAGCCAAGCTAATCACCATCTCCACTTCCACGCAAACAAAAAGTACAAATATACAATCCATAAATAAAACTTTCAAACTATTATTCATATCAAAAATAAAATCCTACTGTACGAAAACTTATAGTTTTCAAAATAAAAAATAAAAAAAACCAAAACTCTAATCATTAATAAAAAAATAAAGTGAAACCAATTGCACCAAATAAATATTCAAAGACAATCTAATCGTCATCAACACTTCCACATAAACAAAAAGTACAAATATCCAATCCATAAGTAAAATCTTCAAGCTATTATTTATATCTTATCACCAATTTGCTCAGAATTGCATGACAACTTATAATTCTCAAAAATTCAAAGTCCAAGCTAATCAATAATAATAATAAAAAATGATAACAATTGCACCAAAAAAAAATATATTCAAAATTAATCTAATCACTATGTGTTAAAATTATTGAAACATCTTATCATTATGTGTTGAATTTATAAGTAATATAGTGTTTTCAGATAAGATGTTTCCTTATTCATTTTGTTGTTGGTGGAGTGTTAACCATTATTAAAAAAAAAATTCACAAGAAAAAAATCATGTCAATTGAAATTCAAAATCTGACACATGTCACTCATCTAGAACTACATTGAAGAGAATTGAAGGGAAGAGAAAGTAGAGGGGATCCGAATCCCTATTCGCAAGTGCAAATCGCTTCTGTAAGCAAGTGATCCCATCCCATTATCCGATAGAGTAGGGGAGAAAATTTGGATCCCCTCTATTTCAGATCTTACCATTTCGAAACTTTAATTAATTCACAATTAACTTGCTAACTTCTATTAGGGAGTCTCCACGACATGAAAGGAAATCAACAATGATAAATTCCATTCTCAAATATATATTTTAGAGGTGATTATATAAAAAAAAAAAATTCTCTGCACTTGGTGACAGTTGGGGATAATTTTCTTCAAATTCAAATATTTGAAAGAATTTATAAACAAAATGTAAATCATTACGGAAATAATCTTTTTTTTTAGAAGAGTAAAGATTGTCTTACTATTTCATTCCATTGTTAGAGCTACACCCTCCTTTAGTCTTTTTTTTTTTGGTTCAATGGTTAGAGGTGTCCAGTCCAACTTATGCACACCTTGACTAATTCCCTCTTCAGACCAATCAAAGACAGACCATTTACGTATGCCTTTCAAAATTTATAGCTTAATTATCTCTACGAATCCATCCCTTCCTCCCATCCCAACACATAGGCTTCACCTCCCCACACTCCACACCCCTTCAAAACTTCATAGAGTGCCCATCTCCAACTCCAATCCCACCAGCACCCCAACCCTCACCTTGAAGAAACAAACATCCCATCCCATAACTGGTGGACACCTGGCACAAAAAATATATAACCGCTGCCATACCCAAATGTAGAACACCATCACCTACACCAAATATGGAAATTGACTCCAAAGTGGACGACCATGATTGATCATGTAACCTCTAAACACCCCCACACGCCAAATTTCTTATAGGCCATCAGCTGTCCAAATTGGCACTTCCAGAGGAAAATCTTTTGAAATTTACAGAGTTTCCCTTCACCACAGGCTTGTTCTGCAGCCTGTCCTTGCAGAAGATTTTCAAGAACATGGCAATATCTTGGCAGCCATGGCCGACTCTCTCTCTGGTTGAGGACGAGACCCAAGTCCAATCACGAGTAGCTGGCAAATGTATAAAATCATATAATCGGTGGCCAATATCATAATTTTAAGAGTTGCAGAACTTAGAAGTATGAATGGAAAAGAGAATGTCTTCAAAGGGACAATAGGTAGGGAAGTGAAATTGATCTCCGGGAACAAAGATCAGAGTCCATCATCCATACTAAGCCCTTTCTAATACCCCATATTACGGAGGCTCGCAGCCAAGAAACCAAGAATTAGTACTCAATCATAGATACAACATATAATGAGGGCATCAAAGAAATTGCCCTCACACCACAACCACACAAACACAAGTTACTTCACTTGATCAACGTCTACCACAGGGAAAACAGGATGAAGTTCCATTGATGTAAACGTGAATCCCTTGCACCATTGGCAACCACCCATTCATAAACTTCGCTGCTTCCTCTTTGCATCTCTCAGCCACATTTCAGATGAAGGTTGTCAACCTAAAAACCAGCCTTTTATACAGCAAGATATGGTGCCAGCAACTTCCTGTATTCCTGCTACTACATCTCAGGTTTCCAAACTACACTTGTTAGTTGGGAATTCAAGTTCACTGGCTCGCCAGAGATCTCTAAGCACTCTATGTCTTACTATCCTCACAGTTTTCCCCATCATTTTGTTTCTCTGGTGCTATGATACTCAAACATTAGCAATTTCCATGTGAACACCATACAAATCACTTGACATGAAAAACAGATAAATGCCAACATAAATATAAGATTTCGATTGCAGTTTGGAATGAAAATGTGCCAATCTCTAATCATGTTCAGAGCAATTTCAATCAATTTAGTCAACAATAATAAGAATCACCTCGCAACCCAGCCTTAACAATTTTTGTTGGCACTTGGCACTTCGTAATTAGTCATGAGAAATTCATCGAACTTCTATACCCAGATGCTACACAGGCATAAATTCAGTTTATCTTCATATGTATAAATATCCAGATTAGGGGAGAGGTAAGCCAGGTAGAGGTAGACTCTTCACATATACCATAATCAATTTAAACAGTGATAAATGCCTATCGGTTTCCTAAGCTTCATCCCATGATTGTGCTCACTAACATACATAGTTTCTTCTTCTATCAGGCAAAGGCCACTTGCTAAGACCTTGCCAAATACAATCAATAACAGTTTTAACCCCCAAAGCATACCAATCACCAAATACTTGGACAAACATTACTTTTCAAAATTAAAAAAAAAAAATCAGATTCATTAGATCATGAACAAAAGATCAAAATCCAAGCCTGATGATCACATGAACTAGACTGATTCTCAATCATGTATGACAATAAAAATTTAACAATAATAACAAATACCCAAATTATGTACCAGTTAATTGCAGATTTGCCTGTTGATTTTACGTAATCGTATTACAAATCATTTCCGTTGACCCTTCTTTTTCCCATCTACCACCCGATCATCGTCATCGTCGTCGTCGTCGTCGTCGTCATCGTCGCTATCATCATTATCAGAATTATCGGAAGGAGGAGAAGGATCAAGTCGAGCAGCATCAATAGCCCACTTAATCACCTTCTCAACCTCATCGGTATCACTGTTCTCCTCCTCCTTCTCCTCACCTTTCGATTGCCGCTGACTATCGTTGAAAGCGACAGAAGATGATAAATAAGAAGGAATCGAGCCCTTGAGAGCAGAAAATCTAGCTAACAGATCATCATCATCAACCTTCGTCTCCTCATGATCACCACTCTCTCTCATCGAACCTGTCGGCAATTCTGGTGGTGGGTTTCGTAGAGGAACTGCTGATGGATTTGTTGATGGCTTGATCTTCGATGGTTTTGGCTTGGATTTGAGGGCAAGGAAGCGACGATCGAGATCCGGGTCGATTATATGACTCGAAGAACCACGCGACATGTGGGAATCGACGCTGAGCTTGAGGAGCATTTCATCCTCCGCAGCTCGCAGCAGCTCTGAAACCTCGTCGTTTTCGGTCGTCATCTTCCTGTTGCCGCTTCTGCTCATTCTTCGTTGCTGCTATTTTTCTCGGTTTTCCCCCCTTCTAGTGTTGCTAACTAACCGCGAGTACTAATACTTGGTGGCTGTTACTCGCACCGTGAAATATTTGTGTGCAATATGAAAGTTCTAATCTTTTGGGGTATGAATTGAGAATTTAAAACCTTTTGGGGGTGCCTAATGTAAATCTCCCTATACTTTTTCTGATTCTTAACCGATGATAAATTACACTCCAAATGCAAATTGGTCGAATTCTCATTCAATTTCAATTCGAATTTAAAATTGAATTTGATTAAGTGGGTATAAATTAATATTTTTTTTTATCGATAATTCGAATTCGAATACAATATATTATATTTTATGAATTTGGATGTGAATATAATTATATCCGATTCGAATTATTTAAATATTTCTATATAAATATTAAAAAAATAAATTTTAAAAAATACTTAAAATTTAGAAATAATTTGTTAAAATTTGGTTAATTAAATTTTTCAGATCAAATCAAATTTTTGTATTAAATTTTAAATTGTTAACTGTGACGATCGATTTTCGACTAGAAAGTGATTGAATAATTAAATTTTTTTTATGGGTCTCGTGATATTGTTGAAAACTATGTGAACGTGATTTGAGGTCAAATTATATGTTAAAATTAATTATGAAAGATTTGTTTATTTTAAAATTTTATTGAGATCGAAATTTGATCGAGTAAGGTAAGAGAATAAAATAAAAAAAAAATAGAATTAAAGCATGTAGTGACATGTGTTCACCATGGAAGGCGACACATGTCACCAAACATGCATAAGTCTTGGAGCCCAAGGTTCCTTTGTTGATAAAATCAGTCCATTGTGTTCAAACCGTAGCAAGGAGGTGGAAGAAAAAAAAAAGTAGATAAAGGAAGAAAAAAAAATCGGAAGATAAGAATGGTGAGGTGGAGGTTATGACTCATGTAACGAAAGTGTGTGTGCTGTCTTGTAGAGAGAATGTTAGAGCAAATATTCTGTGTGCTTTGGAAAGAGCAAGTGCATAGAAACTTGAGGAAAAAAAAATGGAAATTTTGAAAATGAGAAGTTGCTGGCCAAGACAAAAGAGAAAGAGATCCGAACAGAGTTTTACAAGGGAATTGAATCCGATTCGCTCGAATGGAAGTTCAAGTATGATATTCACGGGTGTTAGATATTGTTGTCTACTATGAATTTGGTAAGTGGTTTATACATAATATGCATTCTTTTAATCTCTTTGTAAAAAATACTTTATTGATATCATCCTATTCGTATTCAAATTGTGACATCGTTTGAGTTTGAGTTTCTAAATAATATTTCGTTCAATTGTTGATATTTTGTTTGACTTGTCATTAATCGCTATGATGTTTGCTTTGGTGAAATACTTGAGATTTTTTCGACTCGTGAATGAGGTATACTCGGTAGCGTGGTTATGATTGTGATTTGTGTTCGTGGCCCTGAGGGGTGGATATGATTGAATTAAAATGCACCGAATGATGCCTAGCTTGTTGTCGGGATTGACGGTCAATCATGGTTGATTTAATTTGTTCAAACGTTCGAGATCGTTGACTTGTTCAATATATTTGTACTCTGTAAATTATCGTATTAATTCTTTTGTCATCGAATGATTATTGGTTAGTTGATAAATTATCGTCTTGTCCTTTGACTTCAGTTGTAGGTTGAATTTGGAGTAAAAATCGGCGGAGAATCAGGTTTATCAATGAATGAAAAATTTTGACTAGTTGTAATTTGAACTGGTTGTAATTTGTACAATTATCGAGAGATTCTTTATTCATTTTCGAGGTATTTTAGTAATTTTGATATTTAATGAACATTTAGTTTATTCGTTATTGAGGTTATTAGTACTCTGAATATTACTAAATGGATTGGGGTATTACAAATTTTGGTATCAGAACTTTAGGCATAAGATTCTATAGACCGTCTTATGTTTAATTACTTAGGATGATGACATGTGGGTAATGAATTAGTTGATTTTGGTTGCATAGATAATTTAAGGAAGGTGATCCATCAAAGCTGGCCAAAAAAAAAAATTATCACTTTTAAATTTTGAGGACGAAATGTCTTAAGGTGGGAGGATTGTGACGATTGAATCTCGACTTGAAAGTGATTGAATAATTAATTTTTTTTTATGGGTCTCATGATATTGTTGAAAACTATGTGAACGTGATTTGAGGTTAAATGATATGTTAAAATTAATTATGAAAGATTTGCTTATTTTAAAATTTTATTGAGATCGAAATTTTATCGAGTAAGGTAAGAGAATAAGATAAAAAAAATAGAATTAAAGCATGTAGCGACATGTGTTCACCATGGAAGGCGACACATGTCACCAAACATGCATAAGTCTTGGAGCCCAAGGTTCTTTTGTTGATAAAATCAGTCCATTGAGTTCAAACCGTAGCAAGGAGGTGGAAGAAAAAAAAAAAAAAAAAAAGGAAGAAAAAAAAATCTTGACTTCGTATATTATGTTTTAAATTACTTACCGAGCTTTTTCCAGCTCACCCCCATTTACCCTCTCAGTTGCAGGTTGAATTTAGAGTAAAAATTGGTGAAGAATTGGGTTGATCAATGAATGAAAAATTTTGACTAGTTGTAATTTGAACAGTTATCGAGAGATTTTTTATTTATTTTAGAGGTGTTTTAGTAATTTTGATATTTAATGAACATTTAGTTTATTCGTTATTGAAGTCATTAGTACTCTAAATATTGTTAAATGGATTGAGGTGTTACATTAACGAATTCAGATATAGACTACAAAAAATAAATTATGAAATTTTTCTTTGTTTATATTTTACCAAAACAAGTGGTCCTAAACCTTATGTACCGTGAAGCCGAAATGTGTGTTTGAAAGATAGAAGTTTTGTAGACAAGAATTTTTTGATTATTTCATTATGTTTAGTATTTAAAAGGCTATTTAGGTATCAACTTATCTGGTATTGTTACGAGGTTCAAATTTCACTCCAAAACCAAAGAAAATAGTCAAACACCATAGCCTTTATAGAGAAATCATTTGGCAGAAAATATAAATAAGATGGAAACAAAGTTCAAGGATATGGTAAAACATGATACAAACATATAATATATATATTTTTGTCCTTATCAAAAATTATTTTGTGTACATGCGTTTGTATTAGGGGTGCAACTCGGATGGATTGAGCGGGTTGAGAGGTCAACTCTAACCCAATTCTAGGTATATAATCTTTAACCCTAACTAGGGATGTCAGTAGACCGAAGTGGGGGCGGAGAGTGTAGTCTTCATCCCCATACCCGCTTAAAAAAATTTCGTCCATTCTTGGTTTACCTCTGCTAACGGGTATAATTTTCATCCACATTCTTGTCCGCGAGTAAATTTCTAGTCCCTGTCCGCGTCCCCGCTTCCCCCATACCTACCTAAACCCAATTCTAAGTAGCATAATCCCAAATTTTAAATAAATATAATGTTTTAAATAATCCAACAACATTCTAAATAATCTAACACAACATAATGTAGATTGCAAAATGTAAAAGCCAAAATAATATAGTATTCTATTTAAAGTGTCATTGGACCACAAAAAGAAAAACAGAACTATTAGAGAGAAAGGAAAATAAAATTGAACTAAGAAAACAATAACACTATATTTGAAGTTTTCTAGAAGAATTTTTGTTATTACAATTCATATTACAGCTATAAAGTGTTAAAAGATAAAAAATTTAAATTTTGCTAATTTAATAATTCTACCCACGATAAAATGCAAAACTATTTTACTTTCTCTTATCTGTTTTTAGAGCATGATCAGTCTAAACTCCTAACAGTTTAATCAGTGAGCACACATAGAAAAAAGGATAATCAGGGAAAAAAGTTGATAAGATTACCACATAGTAATGCCAGTTTGATTATGATATTTCTAGATTGATAGTTACAGTAAATATGTTTAATTACGGCTTTGGAGTATATATATATATATATATATATAGATAAGTTCATCCTCGCCTTCTTTCCCCTATAGGTTTTTACGGGTATTCTCGTATACGTCTACCGTCCAATACGTATAGTCTATCACCAGTCCAAACGGGACGGGTTTGGACGAATACCCGTTTTTTTCCGTTCCATTGTCATCCCTAACCTTAACTCTAACCGAACCTTAAACCTACCTCAACTCAAGTACTACTCGAGTTTAATTCAAATAGATTCAAGTTGAATTCAGGTTAAAAATCGGGTTGGACTCGGATTACTTAATTCAAGTTGATAAAAGAGGGAGGAGTAACAAGTGAGAGACGGAGGTCGAGAGTCTGAAACACGACTTAAATGAGGGAGAGAGGGAGGCTGAGAGTCTAAAACTATATTAGAGACAAGTGATGAGTGAGAGAGGTATCTGAGAGTAATGGAGGCATAAGGATGAAGACTTGAGATGAAGTGAAAGTCTAGATTCTAAAGAGGGAAGATTAATATTAACTCTAATTAACTATATTTATATATTTATGTATATTCAAGTTCAACCCGATTTTAATATTCCGGTTGAGGCCTCAATCTGAGACTTGCCTGAATTCAATTTGGGTTGGGGGTTTTTTACCCAGACTCAACTAAAGTATTAAAAATTCTACGGTAGATTGGAAAGGGATACACTAAATTGGATTTAATTATAAAAACGTTCACATAAAAAAATGTAAAGTAAGGAAGTCCTTAATTTTAGTTTTTAATTGTGTTCAAGTACATAATTTGAAATTTTCAAATTTTTCTTTGACATTTGTGTCCTCCCTTAATTCATGCGATTTATTTTTGGAAACTGATTTTTTTTTCCAGATTCTATGTATGAATTAAAAATCTTCTAATTTAATAAAAGATTTGATTCTTACGTTTATTTTGAGGATACATATATGCATTAAAAATCTCCTAATTTAATGGAAGATTTGATTCTTTTGTTTATTTTGAGGATGAATCAATTGATTTGAATTTTAAATTTTACAACAGTATCATTTGTTATCTTTTTCTTCTTCGGCTTGGAACCC